GGGGGGGGTGGGGATGGGGCAGTGCCCTAATATACTTTATGTATACATCTAATAAGTCTTCAAAGGTAAGCCTGTTTAAAAAGAAATGGAAAAGTTTGCTATTCTCATTTATTTAGATTGAAAAAAAAATGCTGTATGTTAAATGCAATGGTTCCTATAAAAATCAACAAAACCAACTAATATTTTCTCTCATTACTTAAATGTTAATCTAACATATAAAATTATTTGCAAGTATTATCTTTTTTTATTGTGAGAATAGGTATGTGGAAAGTGTCTTTGGCTATGATTGTTCACAAACTCTGGAATAAACTTTTTGTTTGAAATAATAATAATAATGAATACAGTTTGAACAGACTGAGACTATCTTGATTCTGTTCATTAGAACACTTCAACATAAAGGGGTCACACTGTTTTTATGGCAGCTATAATGATCTGGTAATGGTTGCTTTCATGGTCAAATTGGTAGTTTCTTTCTGTCCTTTGATGCATTCTTTTTCCTCTTTTTGCTGAGATATTTTTCTAAGTTTCCGCTCTTTTTCAGTTCTTTAAACTTGTCAGCCAACTGCAATTGCTTTTGCTCAGCTGAAATAAAGGCAAAATTCTTGAAACTTGAAAGAATGTTTTTTAAAATATGGTTACAATCTCATTACTCATGGGAATTTTGTAGGGTAATTTTTTAAATAATCAAAAAAGCAAGGGTTGTTATTAACTGATGTAAGAAATGTGAAGGTTTGAAATTATCATATACATTAGTTTTTAAAGCATCAAGTCAAGGTTATATATATTTTTAATTCAATAGCCAAGAAAAGAGCTTACATTTTCGCAGATAAAATGGTTTCTTGCCCTGCTTTATTTCTTCGTATTCCTTCTTCCTAATTTCTTTTTGAAATTGTTTTTCAGATTTTTTCTGCTCTGCACTCCGTTCTTGTTGATTCTGGCAAATAGAAATTAAAATCAGCATATATATTGAAATTTCAATAATTATCTGTAACTAGACTACAAGACATCACAGCTAGCAACTATACAGAGATTTTACTGAAAAAAATTCATTCCCAGTAAATAAAGAAAAAGGCAGCAAAAGCGTCAAATGTACAGACTAAAAGCAGAAAAAAAGATGAACAAAATAGATTACTTTGTCAATTTTGCTGCAATAACACATAATGCTTAACAACAAGGTCAACATCAAAATTTAATAATGCACAAGTGGTAACACGGATGTTAGGAATATGTAACTAGCACAAGGCTTCTGGTCCATGAGAATACAAATTCATACATTGAAAATGAGAAGTATAATATATTTCACAACAAATTGTTTAAAATTGTATAAATCAAGGAAAAAAGTCGGACATGCAGGGCAATATGTAAAAAAAAAAAAAACTTTACAAAAATGAGACAAGATTACATGTCCTCGAGGCTGAGGTATAATAACAATTTAAAAGGCACTGATCTGATGTCTCTAGCTCAAAAGATGAATTTTTTTAAGCACATTCTAAATGACTGAAATTTCATTCAGGAATAGTTTGAATTCAACAAGTAAAAGTTTTTAAAAGTTATCATCTTTAAGATTATTATTAAAATAATTCTTTTCGTATAATTCAACATGTTGCCGACACGGCAGAAATTATATACGTTGTTATCATTTTTATTTTTATTTCCACGATGTTCATATGTTTATTTATATTGTGTTAGAGAAGAAACTACGAACACTGCTCAATTAAGTAACATCTATTCATTTAGTCATGTGATCAACTGTATAAAAGCCAATGTTGCATATACTCTGCGCGGTCACTTATTACTTACTGGCAGAGTGGAGGTATGTTACGATATTACGTGTAGATTGTGTAAAATTTATGTGTTTAATAAAGTAATTCACTTATATAGAGGTATTTTGTGTAGTTTACAAAAGTTTACATAAGTTTAATCAGTAACATAAGTTATGAGCATCGTGTTTATTAAAGTCTATGTTAGTATGGGTGTGGCATTTTCATGACCAACACGCACATGTATATTTATGTTATCAAATAAAATTACAGGACCAGCTCAGATTGTAATGGCCGTGTCTGAGCAGCCAGTTGGCAGCAGAGAAAACGAGTCTGGATATTGTTTTAGTGTAAGTGTTTTAAAATAAAATAATAAATAATTAAAGAAAACTTATACGCATGTAAAGATCAATTATTTGTTGTTAAGATCACATGAATTAAGTTATTTAGTATATTTAGTTTATTTATCTCATTATTTCACTGTATTGTTATTATTATTTTTTCTTTTTCTTTTCTTTTTATAGTTTTCACCAGTTTTTGTTCAGTTTCTGTTTAGATTCTGTTCAGTTCTGTTCACACTGCATGAATAAACAGCAGTATTATCCAACGGTGTTTCTTCATTTACTCGTGGTCCGCTACACAACAAGTGAAGTTGTTGATCACCCTGGCATACTCTTCTTTTGGTATGGCACATTTATTTTATGGGTGAACAATGCACAGTGGGGCACAGCAGCCAAGACAAGGTGCTTCAGGGCCCCTTGCACTCTCTTTAATGCACGGCCTGGATGGCCATATTTAAACTATTAAAAATAATTGAACCATTTGGGTTTGAAAACGTAGGTTAGAAGGCAGGTGCTGTTACAGAGGAACATTTTATTGTGGTGCTCAATAAGTTCTTGAAGGAAATTGGAACACTTTCTGGTAAGAATCGAGATTTGCCATGGTTCCAACAATATTGGGCTACTCCACATACAGCCAACATCATAATGTCATGGCTTGACTATAGATTCTATTATCGGCTGATCAGCAGATGGTGCAAACCGAATTGTCTCTGCATTCACCTGATCTGAACCCCCAAGAATTTTATCTCTGCGAGGCCTTTATTCCTGCATCCCCATTTTCATAGCATAATAACCAGTCAATCCACTATATTTTTAACCTGCTGCCTCTTTTAAAACCAATCAAGAGTAATTGCCCAATGGTCAGTTGCAATTTAAACAGCGGAGCAGCCGCAGCAAGCCATGATGAGTGCAGCATAAGGTAAATAATGCAAGAGCATCTCAATTTTTTGTTTTTGTTCCTCTCTGAAATTTGGTACCAAAGACACTGGGCCTTGCAAAATTTATTAAGTTTTCAATGTCAGGAGTTGAAAAATGTCTCAAGCACGAATGTGCCTTGTTTCAATGACTCTTATGGGGCATACCTTGGCAGAGTACATGCAAAAATTTAAATATCAATAAATTCCCTAAAAACAATCCAATATAGCTGATTTTTTAAAGTGAACAATTTTTAACCAGCAATGATATTTAGATGAAAGTAAATTTAAAGCAAAACAAAACAAGGGAGCAAAACTGTCAAACGTACGGACTGAAGGTATAAAATAATATGCTTGTGCATAATGCAGCTTTTTATCAACTTTGATGCAATATTACAAACTTCAAGAAAAATCATCCAATTGAGCTTTTCAATTTGAGCTGTACTTAAGTCATAAGAACCCTTATAGTATGTTTTGAAAATAATAAGTAACATGGTTTTCTTCTAATAGTTTTAATGGTGGCACAAAATAGTTGTCAAATGTCCAGACAAAAAGCAGAAAATTATGATGTAAAAAAAGGTTATTTTGCCAATTTTGATGCAATAATACATTATGCTTAAGTCAATGTCAAATATTAATTATGCACATCAGGGAACAAGGATGTAAGGAATGCTTTTCCATGACTGTGGTATGTCAATTGTATGAAGTATAATAAATGCTGAAAGAAAAGGATAACTTCAAGAAAAATAGTCAGATCAAGCAGGCTTTCAAACTCAATCTGTACGTAAGCCGCATTCATCAGTCCTGTAAGTTTGAAGACAACAGGTCAAACAGTTTTATGAAATGTGTTATTGGTACTGCATATAGTATAACATATGCTAAAAAAGCATAATTTCTAGAAAAAATGATCTGATCAAGCTGATTTTTTTATCTGTAATTTAGTAACATTGATCACTCCTATAAGTTTGAAAACAATAGGCCTATTGGTTTTCCTTAAAGTTGTATGTCTGTAGTGCATATAGTATAATATATGCTGAAAAAAACATTTTATCTGATCATAAATTCATACAGAAAGTTTGAGTATAATAAAACACATTTTCAACAAAAATAAAATAATAAAACAAAAATTGTGTAAACGACAAAAAGTGCACGGAAATGTCGCAGATGACAACAAATGCAAGTGATGGTATATGTAAAGTATCTGGACATAAAAAATGTTAGGCAATTATTGAACTGATTTTTCTGAGAGCGAATGAATCAACAGGGACAAACACAAGAAAATAAGTGTAGCAAAACAGTTATTCAAAATAGCTATTCAATATAAATTATTTCCAAGTATAAATAATAAAACATTGGCAATTATTATAACAATAATACTTACCATTCTATTAATAAGGTAATGCAGCTGTTGTTTCCTATCATTGTCCTTTTCCTTTTTCAGCTGCTTCAAGAGTTTCTAGTTAAATAATCAAATTGGAAGTGAGAATTTACCCATTTATAGTTACATGTAAAGAGAGCTTGGATTCTCAATAATGCATATAAACCACTTCTACTAGTTTATAAATGACTAAACACCAACATGCCAAGTCATAAACCAAATTTATTCCTTGTGGAGTGGCAAAAAGTTTTAAACTGCATCTTCAAAAAAATTAATGGTCAGAAATTGATTTATTTATCTGTCCCTTCATTTTGTAAAAATTCCCCTTAATGGCACAGTACTGAATGTGCATTGCAAAATCTTTTCTCTCTCTCCCTCCCACATATGAATGTAGCTGCATGCACAATGCAAACTTTTTCAAATGTGGCTGCTGTGAGATTTATATAGCACAGAGAAATAGCAGAAACTATCCATTCATACATCATTTTCCTGGGGAATATGTTGATGTCCTTTGGTATTTTTCTAAGTTATACTATTTGCTACTATATGGTGGTATTTGGTTGGGTTTTCTTGCAAAAATTCAACTTCTAATGCACCTTTTAAGCAATAATTGTTGAAATGGACAAATTAAATATGGTAATGTGCCTTGAATTTCCAACACCTCATAAACTTCAAATGATCTTAAAATCGGCCATCTAGAGTTTTTTGGGCTCTTGAATTTTGAGGTAACATAAGGTGCCAAGCCAGGAACAGACACTCTGGTCCAAAACAACAGAATTTCAAAGAATACAATGTCTGGAAGTTCTCAGCACCTCCCATTTAATGAACTTTGACCAAAACAATATTTTCCTTATTTAAATCAGTTTCTTCTGTACAAATTTCATGACACATTACCATATTGATATGTGCAATAACAAGATAAAATTTTCCATTTAACAATTCCAATTTTCCCCTGCTGTTTGATCTCAATCACATAACAAATTTCAAATTTGACTTACATTTTTTTCTCTTGATTTCAAATCATCCAGAAATGAATATGTTTGGTGAAATATGGTTTGACTGTATTCTCCTGAAAGATCATCAAACCTCGGATCTCTGTTTATCTGCAGTTATGAAACACAAGTCAATTTTTTTATTAAGGGTTTATATATATATATATATATCAGTAAAAAAATCTTTTTAAAATTTTTATTTAAGAAAAAATCTTTTAAAATATTTGACTGATGAAAAAATCTTTTAAAAATATTCTTTTAAAAAAATTGTGGACCTGGTTATCGATTTCTACATGTATTTTGTTCTGGTAAATATAAAAAAGGACTTTTGAATCGTATACAGACATAATAAAAAATAGGTGCATGTGGTCACTGACTTAAACATCTTGGTTCAGTAAAAACAAGCAAACCTAAAATGTACATTAACATTACCAAACTTTTAATATAAAAGCTATAAACATGTTCAAACCTTCTTCTTTACAGAAACAATTTCCCTGAATCTGCCAACAGGTTTCTTGGCTGACATTTCCATAGGCCTGGAAAATATTATAGATTGATTTCAGTTTGTTCAGGATAATAAGGCCAATGGGTTTGACTTACCTACTTAATAAAATGTACCAGCAATAATTGCATTAACATTGTCAACAACTGATTTATAATAAAGAAGCAATTTCATCTTGAAAATTATACTTCAGTCTTATTAATTAAGAGTCAAGGACTGAACAATATACCTGTTTTTGTTTTCCCTTTTAAATTTTTTCTTTCCATTTTCTTTCTTTTTAGCTTTCCCATGCAAGGCCTTTTTGTACCTGAATTATAAATTATTATTTTTATTTATACACTCTAATAATGAAACACATTTTTCCAATAAACAGCAACAACTAATTTTATATCAACTTACAAACCTACAAAACAAATATTGCTTGACAAGAGATCTTCATAAAATTGAGATAGCAACAAATAAAATTAGATCATATCAATGAGTACCCAATACATATTCCTGCACTTCTCCACATTGTAAAGGATAGGTCACTGAGTAGTGATAGTCATTAGTGTCTATGGTACTTACTAAATTTTAATTGAAAATGCTTAGAATGTTCAATCTCCCTACTTTTTGGATATTTATCTTTTTCACACAATAAAAACAGTTAACTTTCTGACTCCTTTTATAATAATTAATTCATGTGGTTCACATTTTTGGGGTAATTACCATATTTTTCCTTGTTTGCTATACTATACATTTTCAAACATCTTTTTTCACATTATAACTGGTGTCTCCCTCTTTTTTCTTTCTCAAATTCTGGACAGAGTTACACTATTAGTAATTAAATATCACTGACTTACAGTTTTGACCCCAGTCTTTCTTTGAGTTTTTGCAATTCTTCAAATGGCATGTGAGACAATTCTTCTTTTATGGCTGCCTGGAAATATTAGGTTTAGAATCAATCACAAAACTACAAGGCTGTTTGCATATATTCTGACCACTGTATCTGTCCATATATTCGTTGTTGCCATCAGACACATCTTTTCTTTACTGAGTAAGTAACAAATTATATTATTTGCTTTATATTTGCCCAATTGCTTTTTTTGGTAAAAAGGAAGGTTGGTTTAAAAGCCAACATGGTTGGGTTCTTTTCCAAGTCATTTAATCTTTTGTGCTATCTGCATGTACTAGTATTTGTGTATTTTGGTGATGTTCAAGGCTTGTCCAAGTGCCAAAAAGTACTTTTTTTACTTCAAATTTGCTCAGTTGCCGAGTTGCTTAATTTGGTAAAAATGCAGATGCAGTTAAAATCAGCTTGATAGGTAAAAGGTTTCACAATTGTTATGGAACACTTCTGGTGTTTTACAACCTTGTTGTCCAATGTTTGCTTAATCTGTTTATATAATAGGCTGTGTAAGAGCCTGTGACATGTCAGTAAAATTGTTGAAATAATACTAAAATACAATATCAACCTTAAAATTTTGTCATCGTTAATTATTTTGACATATTTTCTGCTGAAGTAATTTTTTCACTTTGGAAAGTTCACCAGAATACAAAATAGACTAGTTTCAGTTTGAAAAATTCTCTCATCGTGCATAGTCACATTGTCCACCCAAGCTGAAAGGCAAAAGAACTTGAGGTAAGAGAGCCTTGCTGATAACAATCTTGATTGGAAAAATAGTGGGTCCCTTTGGACAGTTACTTGTGTGTTTCCACACATGTACACGTAGGCATCTAAACGGGCTGTCTACAGAATCTTTTACAACATTTTGGAAAAATATATGAAAATATTGTTTGGACAGTATCGTATACCCACCAGCTCTTCTGGTTCTTCTTCTTGTTCTTCATCCTCATTTTCGCCTTGCTTTCCACTGTTCTCTCTCCATGGCACTATTTCAGAAGTGGCAATTTTGTCGTGTACATCCATCCTATTCTAACAAGATTATGACAAATAGGTTTAGAACTGAACAGGGTTCTTGCCAATTTTGGTGTATAGAAAAATGCTTGTAAAACAAAGAGTAGCAAGTACCCCTCCAAAAGAGTCTAACATCTAAAGAAATTCACAGAAATATGTTATTTAGGGATGTATTTTTAAGTCTGGCAAACCTTTTAAACTTATTTTTATTTATCTCTTATAACAAATTAAAAGTAAAGCACTTGAGAGATTCATAGTAAATGGTCCCCTTTGAAATTGCAAGCTACAAGCCTGATAAGAGTGCTACATGTACATGGAATGCTACATGTACATTATCACGTTAAGATATCCAGCACTCGATATTAATGGTAGCTAAGCCCGCTAGCCGGGTTAGTAGACTACTAGGTCTGGCTTCCAGTGCCTTCCTACCAGTGGCCTGATCAGGCTACCTACAATTTTATAGATGTTTCCAAGATATTTCAACCATTTGAAACAATTTCTGTCTCCAATTTGTTGATTGTGCTGCATTTTTTGTTCAGACATATATTTAAACTGACTGTTAAAAACACCCTGTATGCCCAAATCAGCACTGCAGTATTAATGATGATCTACCGTATTATCTAGTAAAAAGCACTTGTTACAATTTCTGTGCAATTCTTCAGACGTGTCAGATGACGCAAGAGGAAAATTTATTTATGTAACAGGTATAAAGGTATACCTTACCTTAAAAGTATCATGATATTCCATTATTTGCAATTACGGGGACGTAAAAACCAACACAGTAAAATTAGGTCAACATCATAAAAGCTTTTGGGTACTTTTGCAGTATTCCCCCTCCCTGTAACTCTTTGATTTTTAATGCTTATCAAAATTAAGTTATGTGGTCACTTAATTAGTTTGATCAGTGCATCTGCTATTCAAAAAAATTACTATGGAAGTATACTAGCTTATTTTTTTCATCTTTTTTAAATAAACCTTTAGTTCTACAACCAATGACACTTCAGCAAATTTTCACTTAGGCAATAACCTCAGCTCTCATAATATTTGGAAGGCATAAATTTTCATGTAAAAAAATCTTAAAATTAGTTTATGCATTGCCAAATTAATTTATCTGAGTAGCGCAGACATTGCTCAAAGTCAACACACAAATTCATTTAGAAAAGATGGTGCTGGTGGAAAGTAATGCCGCAAAACAGTTTTTGCCCCCCCCCCCCCCCCCAACACACATCATTAAAAAGTTATTTGTTAACAGTGTACAACTTGAAAAAAAAAAAAAGATTTTGGAATAGGACAAGTCTATTTTGACACCTTTTGTGCGACTGGGCAAGTGCCTGAATCAAGTCCTGGTATAAACCAGCATATTCTTCCAAAAACCTTGGGCTACCAATGGCTCACTAGTACCAGTACCACGTACATCTTGGCAGCTGGTAGCCCTGCAGCGGGCCCTGATTTCTTGCGACATACACACAGTCACTAACACCTACCTTACCTTATCGTAAAACGGCTTTCCTATAACGTGATTACAAATAACTAAACACAGACAGAGGCGTTAAAATAGTTCACATGCTCTCGTGGAGTATTTTGCAATTTATGATCTCTGTATTAAAAAGAGTGCTCTTTTACTTTGGAGGAAAAAGAATTTGTCTTCAAGGGCGGCTTTGTACGGTGACTGGTGAGTAATTTTTTTGCAAATTAAACTATAGCACAAGTGGAAGCCAATGTAGAAGGGGCAAGCGATTATCTTGAGCTATATTCACAAAATATCTGGGGTTATTATTCTTATTTGGGCCCTCTTATTTAACAAGTAAATGTGGAAAATTCTTTCGCAAAGCTGACATCTGCCTCAAACATTACGTTTTATTTTAAGTTCATATTGCCGTCAATTGTGGTTTTACTTTTGAATTAGATTTACTTAAACTCTGTGCTTAGGAGATATATAACCAATCATAACCCTCTGTTAAATGTATTTTATATCTAGTTAAGCTTGGGTTAAATGCCGACGAAATTACAAGGGTAAGTGTTGTGATACGAAACTGTCAATAGATGGCCGTACTAGTCTGAAGCCGCAGTTCCAATTAGTCTTAGGTTTGGGGGCACTCGTCTTGCCCAAATTGGAACGTACGTGCCCAGTTTCATCAACACTGCATGGATTGGGCTTTTGATGGAATAAGTCTATCCATTAGATAAAATTGTTGCAATCTGGGCAGTTATCTTGTGGGTAATATTTTCAAACACTAAATATTTTTCTCTGATATTGCAATATCCAGTGGCAATAATAATAATAACAATAATAATATTATTATTTATTTCTAAAAAACCACACTACACTACTCAGAATTACAAGTGATTACACAAATACTAAACACTGAGGTGATCGAATAAAACATTAAAATGATAAATACTGGTTATAATAGTAAAAGTCTAAATAATGAAACTTTTTATGATAAAATGACTGCTATCCTGTCCATAGGATAACATTTTTATTTAATGGAAAGTGCTATTCATAGGATAAAGATATCCAGTTTTGGTGAAAATGGGCTCTATGGTTAACAGGTGTGAAAAGCAGACAATTTTTATTTTATTCAGCAAAACTTTTTTTCAAATCATTTAAATAGATTGATAAAGTAAAAGCCACATTGGGTAGTTAATTAAGGGGTGACATGAGATAATTGAGAATAATTTAGATAAAGGAACAAAGTGTAAAAATTAAAACATTTACCACTTTTTTAAACTTACCTGAGTACAAGTAATACTGTCTGATCATATAAACAGGTAAATGCCATGAAATAATGCAGCCTAAAATAATCTAATACCAAGCCCACCACCTGCCAATCATGTTCTGTTTTAATTAACTTGGATTTTAATATTCAGTAATAATAATTGATATAAGATTTACACTAACCAAATCCATGTTGTTTGGCCTATTGATTTACTGAAAGTTATACTTTTAAAAATTTGTAACCTTCAACCTGTTCATAGTTATCCCAGTAACCTAGTTTTGCGTGCATTTTTTCCTGTGCTAAAGTGGATAGGATAAGTTTTATTTCTTCTGATAGGTGGCGCTATCATTAATTGGAAAATACAGACCTGTCCACGACTGTTACACATTGGTTGAGACCCTTGCAGTATATCATGGTAATTTTTCTTTATTGTAGTCACACAGGCCTATTTTCTTTATTTTAATCATTACTGATGGTGGTAGTGGCCTATGGTTTAAGTTTAATGAGATACTACAATTGGCAAAAATAACATGGAATAAAGAAGTGAGGAATACTAACATTCTTTGACAAATAAGCTTATGGAATTAATTTATCAGTTGTAAGACCTGTGGAATAGCAACATTCTTTGACAAATAAACTTATGGAATTTATAACTTTTATTGTCATAAAAGTTTGTCGTCCTGTCTGTTTTTTAAAATAATTTTTATAATTTTGAAAAAGACATGGATTAAAGCAATGAGTATATTTTTTTTGTTTTTGTTACATCATTTTTCAAAAAAAAAAAAGTTTTGAATGCTGACGTCATCCCAAAATAGTAATAAAAAGAGCAAAGCCATTTATAATAAGAACAAAAAGAAAAATTATTTTTCATCAGATCTATTTACTATTTTCAGTAAAACATTTAAGGCATTTTTAATGAGAGAGAGAGAGAGAGAGAGAGAGAGAGAGAGAGAGAGAGAGAGAGAGAGAACGGTTGATGTGTGCCAAATTATCTTAACTGAAAACTTTCCTTTTAAATACTGTGTTTTCTAATATACTCCAGTATGTATAAAAGAACCTTTCTAGGTTGATGTATGAGGCTCTATTATTATGGTCCAAACATAAGGTTTTGAAGCTTAGAGACATGGACAATCCCTTTCAAAATAGTAATTTCCCCTTGCATGTTGTGAATGATCAATCTCCTCTTTATGTAATTTAAGATTGAGTCAGCCCACTTTAAAGAAAAGAGACTTACTTCTATTACTAGTAACCCAAGCTTTTCATCCTATGCAGAGTCATTAGATTACACTGAAGGCCATCAACCGTATTGTAGTCTTTTTTCCAGTATCTCCCACCAGCATTTTATAACAATACCCATATACAGTGCACATGTAGAGGTATACAAATTCCTGCAGAGGTGCTTTAGAATAGCTATATATCTAATTTTATACGTATAATACTTGATCTAGAGAAATAATACATGCCCCCTGATGTAAGAAGACCAGCTTAGGCATATAATTATCAAATCTGAGGAAAATTACTGTGGGAACAGCAGAAAAAAAGGACTATTCTATTCGATTCTGAGATTGTGGTACAAATATTGTGGTCCATCAGGTTTTAGTTGGTAATTGTTTTAATAGGGTTGGTCAACTGAATGACTGGGCTTAGAAGGGCCACTTAACCAGGATTATCTATTCACATTGTAAGTAGTCTTTTTGTGGTAGTTACCCTTGAAGAACACCTGGCCTATTTTCCCACACTTTCAAGCTTGGTCCCCAGTAATAAGCCATTCTAGCAGACATATTAAAGATGATTATAGGACTTTACATGGGTCAGGTAGAGTGACTATAGGTATGGGCTTTTGTCTTGCACCTGCATGCTGTGGGATGCTATTACAAATACCTTGAACAGTCACCCTGGGCAAAGCATTGTAATCCTTACTTGTTCTTGTTAATCTCTTTGAAAATTGCTGTAGTCCTGCCTCATTCAACTGTTACATATTGGGTAGGTGTGACAAGGGCTTATGAACAGGAACTTTTGGCAATGTTGACTCTGGTGGTTAGTGTCCTATAAAACTTTGTCATTGTTTTTAGTAATCCTGTTTACATATAGGTTTATTAGTTCCAGGTGTGACACATATATTTTTAAGACTCAAGGTGATATGCGTATAGACCTATAAGACCAGGTTATGTGAAAAGAAGTTTTAATGCCTAATGGATGTTCAAATGTTTTAATTTTCAACTTGTCGAAACTTGGTACTTTATAATTTATGGAATTTCCGAGCGCTTATCTGCTATATGCTTAGTTTATAGACATGTAATGGAATTTGTAATTGATCACAAGAGCCAACTGAAAAGGTATTGATTTTTGGATGTCTCTCTGTCTTTAAGTGCCATGGGAAAAGAAACCCACTCACGTTCTCAACTTTGTGACAAATTTGCAACAGATGGTGGAGATCATATAGTCTCCTGTATTTACACATAAAAATTTCTCCTTGCTCTATAAAATGTGGGCATTCCTTTGAGGGAGATAAGTAATAGTGCCCAAGTAGTTATTATTCACTACTTGGGGCACTGATTCATTGTTGTGAAATGTAATTACTTTTCCAAATTTTTATAACAAGTTCTCCCAGTTTATTTTACCAGACACGGAATTAAGCATGTAATTTAAACTTTAAAAAACAAGGTTATTTTTAATTGCAGTGTCTGTTGTTATTATGTACAGACACAGATTTGACTGCACGCAGGGTTATGTGCCAAACAGTTTGATTCAGATTAATTAATTAATTTGAAAGAAACATCATTTTGGTTTAATTGATTGAAATACAGCAATAAAAACATTTGAAAACAAACAAATTGTTTGGGCCATTTTCATAAACGTCTATCTTACTGGAAGTATTGCCTTCTACCCAAAGTGCTACCCAAGTAACGCAAGATAAGCTCGCAATTAACTCTTAACACCTGTAGATGTTTCAAATATGTTTTATCCTCTTTTTAAATCTTGCTGTGTATAATCTTTACTAACTTTACTTGATATTTAAAGTAATGTTATCATAATTATCATAATTTCCATCTGTTTATTTCCCCCACGTATGATCATTTTCATGATGCGCTTAACAGTACATTAGACAGATGATGAGGGATGCTTTTTTCCTGAGACAGGTGCTGTAAACAGTGCTGGTTCACTTACATTTGAAACCAATAGTGCTCAAACCAGTTATATGATCATATGATAAGCTGAATGACCAGCTTTGTGGCTGTTTGCCCCACTTGAATATTTTTACGTCAACTCAAATCAACCAATGCAATGTTTTTTTTTACCTGTCTGAGAGCAGAAATGTTTATAAGTAGCAGGGCTTGCTTGGCGTAGACCCATCCCAGAGAAAATTCAATCACCCCCATCAAAGAATACCAACTGGTACACAAACTGAATTCATTGTCACCTTTAAAAAATTACTTAAATTGTGTTATATTAAACACATTGATGTTATTCAAATCCTTGAGTGAATATTGAGACCTCCAAAAGTTGCTTATTACTTTGGTGATTACTTATTGGTTATTGATTTAAGATAATGACATAACATGTGAAGTGTAACTGTGATATTAAATGATATTTAAGTAGAATGGTCCCTTTCCTGTGGAGGCATTATTTTGTTCTGTGAATAATAGATACCTCAGTGGTCTCTATGTAATGCAATTCTTAAGTACCCAATATCTTTGACTTTGAAGTGGTGTCACACTGTCCGGATTCATTTCTAGGCCAGCATTAGTGGTATCTGTCACATTACGAGACTCAGGAATATATTGAGATAGTTTTCAACTACCGCACCTTCACGACTGCTACCAGTACATAAATGCTGTTTATAAACAGCGTCAGCCTCTGTTTATATGCCACCAGGTAGCACTTTCCAGTGTTGAGCTAATTCATGTTACCTAAAGTGATACCCTTTTAGAGAAAAAATTACACATAATAAAAAGTAAACCAAGGACAAGGACATTAACTTTGATCTAAAATTGTTATATATTTTTCTGAACAGCTCCTTATTTTCTTGAGTTCTGTCCAAAAGCCCTTCTTTTCATGAATGATCTCCTTTTATTGGACTGATCCTATAAGTGTGTAGACTCCTGTAGTTATCACCTGTGCCTGTGGTCATCGTAGCTGTCGCTGTGCCCCCTTTACTGATGAACACCATAAAAAATTGCTTCTTTCCGTATTATACTCCTCATGGGTATAAAGCTCTCATGGATATAAAGCCCTATGCTAGTTACATTATCTGAATGTCCAGGGTAGCAGTATTACTATACACCATTAAATTGGTTATGATGATGTTGTTGAGCATAATGTATTTCATCAAATTGACCAAAATAACATTTTGTGCTTGTCATCAATGAATTGTTGGTTCATCATTTTTTAACTGATAAGATGTCTTCTTAAGTTCTTACAGTTTTTTATTTCATTTAATGTCTGCCCATTTGGAAACCTTACTGCCTTATTTTTTCTTAAGCTAATAGACATACTTTAAATAAGCAGCTTAACATTTGCCCTATGATGCTGACTATCCTTTAGTGCTACAATTATAAGGGACCAGTAATTGTTTAAGTCAGAGAGGGGAGGGTGGAGAGGAAAATGCCTGTAATCCAAAGGTCCCATTCAGAATAGGGGACTAACTAGTCCCAGGGTCAAATATGGTGACCCACTACAAAACTTGCTTTCTAATCTGCTAATAGACACTGAATAGAGATTTCATGGCGAAGTATTCAAGTGGGTCGGCCATATTTGACCCTCAGACTAGTTAGTCCCATATACTGAATGGGGCCAAAGAAAATTTCAAGCCCCACCCCTGTAACAGCATTGAAATTTTTCCATTAACCCACTTATGGATTGATAGAAAAATTTAAAAATTCAGCCCCCCCCCCCTCCTTCAATAAAGAATATATATGAACCGTGGAAAATTTATGTTTTACTTATGGCATGAGAAATATATCAAAAACACTTCACTCATGTGGGCAATTCAATGAAAAAACTTCATGTGCAAATTGAATGGGTTTACAAAAAAAATTTTGAATGTTATCATTATTGTTTTTTCTCTTCACTGTACGCACTCTATATAGATAGTAAATACTACAGAATTTATTCATTCTAAAAAAAAAAGAAAACTTGTACAGGGTTACCAGCTTACTTGAAAATGAGGGAAAATGATTTTTTTCAAGGTCGGTGAATTGTCAGGGAAATAAGCATTTAAGTCAGAGAAAATTGAATATCAAACCCCCTTATCTCCCATTTTCAAATTTCAAGACCCCCCTAATTTTCGCTTAAAAATTCCAGGGACCTCCAATGTTAGAAAGCTTGATGTCTGTGTTTAAGAATAAATGTCAATAGTGGGTGATTAAGAAGAACAAATATGATTAACAGAAGGGGGTCTTCATTAGAAACCATGGCAAAGATGCCAGGAAGATTATCAAGTTTCCTTCCCCTCCAACTTAAATAATGACTGGTCCCTAAGTCCTACTTCACTACCTCTGAACATAAATTGGACCAACAATAAGTCTACCTTACAGCAAAACAAGACCCTGCTTAGAATGGTATAAGGTAAATAGTGGCTGAAACTGTACTATTAGCCTTGCAGGCTGTTTTGGTAAAATCTTTGGAGAGATTAGTTTACTTAGGTCCCTTTATTCTGAAACTTTCTCAAATGTGTCTACATTTGATTTACTCTGGTTTTATCAGTCTTAAGAAATCACAGAATGTTCTAAAATAATTTGATTTTATTCTGATAAGTACAATGCTAACTGGTCCTGGAGAGACTACTATTTGATGTGTTGTTTGATGGCTAAGTTTCCACCTAGCCTGAAGGAAGGCTCATTTTGCTACTCCATTAATGGACAGATTGTTTCGAATGACTCTGGTTGCTTGTGGAACCATGTAGTACAATTATATTATCACCTATATAAACTTCTTGGCATCTTTGCCATGGTTGCTTATGAAAACCCCTTCTGTTAATCATATTTGTTCTTCTTAATCACCCACTTTTGACATTTATTCTTAAACATTTACATCAAGCTTTCTAACATTCTCAATAATAAACAAAGAATGTTCCTGATAAATAAGTGACTGGACTGGAAATTTTCAGTATTTCTATTTAAAACGATCTATTCCAGTTTGGAACATAATTCGTCCTTTATTCACAAAAGGTATAAAATGATCCTGTTATGACCCTGATGGTAGGTATGCCATTTTCCCCCCTTTCAACAAAAGCTGTGTTCCGCTAGTATGACCCTAAATAAGTACTATTATATGTTAACTGTCACGAGTCTTGCAGGATGTCAGATTTTGTATGTTGTATGCTAAGAATAACTTTTCCATAATTTCTTTAAAGATAACCTTATTCTTTGATAGCTGATAAAGAAGGCAAAACACCCCAAGCAAATAAACTGGAACTTTTTATTTGCCTTAGGTAGTAAGAAGTCTAAAAGCTGCCACTTGATATTCCAAATGACAATATGGTTCTGATTTTGCATAAGAAATGCTGCTTCCTTTAGGCATTTTAGACCAAACATGCTTGATATGGGTCAGTTGAAGTTTTAAGTGATTGAAAAAAATCCCTGGCTTTTATTTGCAGCAGTTGAAATTTATCTGCTGTATGAAGAGAATACCAATTGTGTACCTTGTCATGAAAAGAATTATCAGCTACATGCTAATGCACAAGTGTAATGTAGCGTAGATATAATTTATTTTAAATGAAATTGTAAGTGCTTGTTTTTTCATTATCATAGATCAGAAGATTGTGCTGACATCCTTATTTATGGGAAATGAGTTTGGAAACATTGACATTAACTTGACATTACTTTCTCAATATCAATCAAAAATACTTTAATGTGATACAGATGAAATTTTCACCTAGTTCTCTGAACTTAACACTTGGCAAAAAGTAACTTCTCAATGACTTCATTATTGACCACTTAATATGTACTCTTCTTTGTTTTGGCAAAAAGTTGCATTACTTTTCAATAACTTCATTAATGAACACTAATGTGCACTCTTCTTGGTTTTGGCAAAAAGTTGCATTACTTCTCAAGGACTTTATTAATGAACACTTAATATGTTCTCTTCAGGCTCTGGTCCCTTCTTTATGAGGTTGGTATCAGCCAGGCACTAGCACATGGAGCTCAGCAGCCAATTTGCTTGTAGTTGTTGGACATGACACATGCAGCAGGCAAGTGATGCAAATAACATGTAAATGACAGTACCAAGTGGTCTTTGCAATGATGTGGTAAACCCCCCTCTTCATCCTTCAGCAGCTTGGCCACAAATACATCACAGGTATTTTCTAAAATGATAAAACAGATTTTGCAATCCCTGATTAATTTGATATATTTATGTGTCACATGTACAGACCTTCACTCTCTCTCTCTCTCTCTCTCTCTCTCTCTCGTTTATTAAGTGTAACACTGAGNTTAAAGCGGTTGGGAACGGTTCTGCACGCTAATGGCCCATAGACAGTTCTGCAGGGCCTCGTATCTCGAAAGCATCGCTTATTGAGAATAGCTATATCACACAGAGGCTACAATATATTATATGGGGCGAGTATGGGCGAGTTATTGGATCAAGATGCTTGCGCTCGGTCGCAATGCGTGATACTTTCGAGTTACGGTTTTACAAAAAATGTTGCCGCTCGACTCATTGCAAATCGAAGTCACCTTTCCATGGGTCCCAATTTGTTCTCTTTCGTTTGGTTCTGTCGTAATCTTTCTTATTTTTATTTCTTCCCTCAATTGTTTTTCTTTTGTGAACTTCTCTATCGGACTTGATAGAATTTTTTTTTCATTTTTGACAGCCCAAGATGAAAGCACGTGGGAAAAGAACTACATCTGACGCACAGTGAAAACTCGTACGTTCACTCATAATTTTTGGATTCAAATTTTTTGTAAAATTCTCCTTTAATTTGCCTTCATTACTGCTGATTATAAGCACTTCATGTACCTGTAAGTCTATTTAATCAATATCATAACTTTTTATACTTTCACATTTTTATTAACCTCAACCTACAAATTGCTACTCGCGGTATCTCCTCTACACAAAACAATGACGTAATGTTATCTGCTGTGCACTGAAGCTGGTTTAGAACAACGTGCCTCGTTTCAAATTGTCTTTCAACTTCATATCACACAGACGGAACTTTGAAAACGAGGCCACTGAGAGGGAGACTGTTGGTTAATTTTCGATACGAGCGTTCGATTGCAAGCTATGGTTAGTTCTTTAATTGCTTCTATGATAGTGGGTGAAAACAGTGAGTTGATTTGATATTTTGCTGAAATCGCTTGTGAACATAGACAAAATAAAAGGTGAAAATAGGCTGTAAAAATAGCCAGACCGTCGGGCGGGTAATTTGTAAATCTTACCCACCCGGCCTGAAAGTTACCAGCCTCGGGCTGGCGGGCTGGCGGCCATTTCATACACTGATATAAACCACTTCTACTAGTTTATAAATGACTAAACATCAACATGCCAAGTCATAAACCAAATTTATTCCTTGTGGAGTGACAAAAAGTTTTAAACTGCATCTTCAAAAAAATTAATGGTCAGAAATTGATTTATTTATCTGTCCCTTCATTTTGTAAAAGTCCCCTTAATGGCACAGTACTGAATGTGCATTGCAAAATCTTTTCTCTCTCTCCCTCCCACATATGAATGCAAACTTTTTCAAATGTGGCTGCTGTGAGATTTATATAGCACAGAGAGAAAGCAGAAACTATCCATTCATACATCATTTTCCTGGGGAATATGTTGATGTCCTTTGGTATTTTTCTATATATTATATACTATTTGCTACTATATGGTGGTATTTGGTTGGGTTTTCTTGCAAAAATTCAACTTCTAATGCACCTTTTAAGCAATAATTGTTGAAATGGACAAATTAAATATGGTAATGTGCCTTGAATTTCCAACACCTCATAAACTTCAAAAGATCTTAAAATCGGCCATCTGGAGTTTTTTGGGCTCTTGAATTTTGAGGTAACATAAGGTGCCAAGCCAGGAACAGACACTCTGGTCCAAAACAACAGAATTTCAAAGAATACAATGTCTGGAAGTTCTCAGCACCTCCCATTTAATGAACTTTGACCAAAACAATATTTTCCTTATTTAAATCAGTTTCTTCTGTACAAATTTCAAATTTCATGACACATTACCACATCGATATGTGCAATAACAAGATAAAATTTTCCATTTAACAATTCCAATTTTCCCCCGTTGTTTGATCTCAATCACATAACAAATTTCAAATTCGACTTACATTTTTTTCTCTTGATTTCAAATCATCCAGAAATGAATATGTTTGGTGAAATATGGTTTGACTGTATTCTCCTGAAAGATCATCAAACCTCGGATCTCTGTTTATCTGCAGTTATGAAACACAAGTCAATTTTTTTATTAAGGGTTTATATATATATATATATATATATATATATATATATATATATATATATATATATATATATATATATATATATTTCAGTAAAAAATCTTTTTAAAATTTTTATTTAAGAAAAAATCTTTTAAAATATTTGACTGACGAAAAATCTTTTAAAAATATTCTTTTAAAAAAATTGTGGACCTGGTTATCGATTTCTACATGTATTTTGTTCTGGTAAATATAAAAAAGGACTTTTGAATCTTATACAGACATAATAAAAAATAGGTGCATGTGGTCACTGACTTAAACATCTTGGTTCAGTAAAAACAAGCAAACCTAAAATGTACATTAACAATACCAAACTTTTAATATAAAAGCTATAAACATGTTCAAACCTTCTTCTTTACAGAAACAATTTCCCTGAATCTGCCAACAGGTTTCTTGGCTGACATTTCCATAGGCCTGGAAAATATTATAGCTTGATTTGTTTGTTCAGGATAATAAGGCCAATGGGTTTGACTTACCTACTTAATAAAATGTACCAGCAATAATTGCATTAACATTGTCAACAACTGATTTATAATAAAGAAGCAATTTCATCTTGAAAATTATACTTCAGTCTTATTAATTAAGAGTCAAGGACTGAACAATATACCTGTTTTTGTTTTCCCTTTTAAATTTTTTCTTTCCATTTTCTTTCTTTTTAGCTTTCCCATGCAAGGCCTTTTTGTACCTGAATTATAAATTATTATTTTTATTTATACACTCTAATAATGAAACACATTTTTCCAATAAACAGCAACAACTAATTTTATATCAACTTACAAACCTACGAAACAAATATTGCTTGACAAAAGATCTTCATAAAATTCAGATAGCAACAAATAAAATTAGATCATGTTAATGGGTACCCAATGCATATTCCTGCACTTCTCCACATTGTAAAGGATAGGTCACTGAGTAGTGTTAACACATTCATTAGTGTCTATGGTAATTACTAAATTTTAATTGAAAATGCTTAGAATGTTCAATCTCCCTACTTTTTGGATATTTATCTTTTTCACACAATAAAAACAGTTTACTTTCTGACTCCTTTTATAATAATTAATTCACGTGGTTTTGGGGTAATTACCATATTTTTCCTTGTTTGCTATACTATACATTTTCAGACATTTTTTTTTCACATTATAACTGGTACCTCCCTCTTTTTTCTTTCCCAAATGCTGGACAGAGTTACACTATTAGTAATTAAATATCACTGACTTACAGTTTTGACCCCAGTCTTTCTTTGAGTTTTTGCAATTCTTCAAATGGCATGTGAGACAATTCTTCCTTTATGGCTGCCTGGAAATATTAGGTTTAGAATCAATCACAAAACTACAAGGCTGTTTGCATATATTCTGATCACTGTATCTGTCCATATATTTGTTGTTGCCATCAGACACATCTTTTCTTTACTGTCTAAGTAACAAATTATATTATTTGCTTTATATTTGCCCAATTGCTTTTTTTGGTAAAAAGGAAGGTTAATTTAAAAGCCAACATGGTTGGGTTATTTTCCAAGTTATTTAATCTTTTGTGCTATCTGCATGTACTAGTATTTGTGTATTTTGGTGATGTTCAAGGCTTGTCCTAAAGTGCTAAAAAGTACTTTTTTTTTTTACCTCAAATTTGCTCAGTTGCTGAGTTGCTTAATTTGGTAAAAATGCAGATGCAGTTAAAATCAGCTTGATGGGTAAAAGGTTTCACAATTGTTATGGAACACGTCTGGTGTTTTACAACCTTGTTGTCCAATGTTTGCTTAATCTGTTTATATAATAGGCTGTGTAAGAGCCTGTGACATGTCAGTAAAATTGTTGAAATAATACTAAAATACAATATCAACCTTAAAATTTTGTCATCGTTAATTATTTTGACATATTTTCTGCTGAAGTAATTTTTTCACTTTGGAAAATTCACCAGAATACAAAATAGACTAGTTTCAGTTTGAAAAATTCTCTGATCCTGCATAGTCACACTGTCCACCCAAGCTGAAAGGCAAAAGAACTTGAGGTAAGAGAGCCTTGCTGATAAAAATTTTGATTGGAAAAATAGTGGGTCCCTTTGGACAGTAACTTGTGTGTTTCCACACATGTACACGTAGGCATCTAAACATCTATAGGGTCAACTTACAGTGTTTTCTGTCTACAGAATCTTTTACAACATTTTGGAAAAATATATGAAAATATTGTTTGCACAGTATAGTATACCCACCAGCTCTTCTGGTTCTTCTTCTTGTTCTTCATCCTCATTTTCGCCTTGCTTTCCACTGTTCTCTCTCCATGGAACTATTTCAGAAGTGGCAATTTTGTCATGTACATCCATCCTATTCTAACAAGATTATGACAAATACAGGTTTAGAACTGAACAGGGTTCTTGCCATTTTTGGTGTATAGAAAAATGCTTGTAAAAGAATCAAAGAACCAAAATTTTTTGATATGTTCATAAAGAGTAGCAAGTACCCTTCCAAAAAAGTCTAATATCTAAAGAAATTCACAGAAATATGTTATTTAGGGATGTATTTTTAAGACATGTCACACATCATTAAAAAGTTATTTGTTAACAGTGTACAACTCCCCTCTCCCCTCCCCAAATTGAAAAAAAAAAAGATTTTGGAATAGGACAAGTCTATTTTGACACCTTTTGTGCGACTGGACAAGTGCCTGAATCAAGTCTTGGTATAAACCAGCATATTCTTCCAAAAACCTTAGGCTACCAATGGCTCACTAGTACCAGTACCACGTACATCTTGGCAGCTGGTAGCCCTACAGCAGAGAGTTGAGGTCGGGCCCTGATTTCTTGTGACATACACACAGTCACTAACACCTACCTTACCTTATCGTAAAACGGCTTTCCTATAACGTGATTACAAATAACTAAACACAGACAGAGGCGTCAAAATAGTTCTCGTGGAGTATTTTGCAATTTATGGTCTCTGTATTAAAAAGAGTGCTCTTTTACTTTGGAGGAAAAAGAATTTGTCTTCAAGGGCGGCTTTGTACGGTGACTGGTGAGTAATTTATTTGCAAATTAAAATATAGCACAAGTGGAAGCCAATGTAGAAGGGGCAAGCGATTATCCTGAGCTATATTCACAAAATATTCGGGGTTATTATTCTTATTTAACAAGTAAATGTGGAAAATTCTTTCGCAAAGCTAACATCTGCCTCAAACATTACGTTTTAATGTAAGTTCATATTGCCGTCAATTGATGTTTTACTTTTAAATTAAAATTACTTAAACTCTGTGCTTAGGAGATATATAACCAATTATAACCCTCTGTTAAATGTATTTTATATCTAGTTTAGCTTGGGTTAAATGCCGACGAAATTACAAGGGTAAGTGTCGTGATACGAAACTGTCAATAGATGGCTGTACTAGTCTGAAGCCGCAGTTCCATTAGTCTTAGGTTTGGTAGCAATCGTCTTGGCCAAATTGGAACGTACGTGCCCAGTTTCATCAACACTGCATGGATTGGGCTTTTGATGGAATAAGTCAATCCATTAGATAAAATTGTTGCAATCTGGGCAGTTATCTTGTGGGTAATGTTTTCAAACACTAAATATTTTTCTCTGATATTGCAATATCCAGTGGCAATAATAATAATAATCATAATAATAATATTATTATTATTTATTTCTTAAAAACCACACTACACTACTCAGAATAACAAGTGAGGTGATTGAATAAAACATTAAAATAATAAATACTGGTTATATTAGTAAAAGTCTAAATAATGAAACTTTTTATGATAAAATGACTGCTATCCTATCCATAGGATAACATTTTTATTTAATGGAAAGTGTTATTCATAGGATAAAGATATCCAGTTTTGGTGAAAATGGGCCCTTTGGTTAACAGGTGTGAAAAGCAGACAATTTTTATTTTATTCAGCAAAACTTTATTTCAAATCATTTAAATAGATTGATAAAGTAAAAGCCACATTGGGTAGTTAATTAAGGAGTGACATGAGATAATTGAGAATAATTTAGACAAAGGAACTAAGTGTAAAAATTAAAACATTTATCACTTTTTTAAACTTACCTGAGTACAAGTAATACTGTCTGATCATATAAACAGGTAAATGCCATGAAATAACGCAGCCTAAAATAATCTATTACCAAGCCCACCACCTGCCAATCATGTTCTGTTTTAATTAACTTGGATTTTAATATTCAGTAATAATAATTGATATAAGATTTACACTAACCAAATCCATGTTGTTTGGCCTATTGATTTACTGAAAGTTATACTTTTAAACATTTGTAACCTTCAACCTGTTCATAGTTATCCCAGTAACCTAGTTTTGCGTGCATTTTTTCCTGGGCTAAAGTGGATAGGATAAGTTTTATTTCTTCTGATAGGTGGCGCTATCATTAATTGGAAAATACAGACCTGTCCACGACTGTTACACATTGGTTGAGACCCTTGCAGTATATCATGGTAATTTTTCTTTATTGTAGTCACACAGGCCTATTTTCTTCTTTTTTTTTTTTAATCATTACTGATGGTGGTAGTGGCCTATGGTTTATGTTTAATGAGATACTACAATTGGCAAAAATAACATGGAATAAAGAAGTGAGGAATACTAACATTCTTTGACAAATAAGCTTATGGAATTTATAAGTTGTAAGACCTGTGGAATAGCAACATTCTTTGACAAATAAACTTATGGAATTTATAACTTTTATTGTCATAAAAGTTTCTCGTCCTGTCTGTTTTTTAAAATAATTTTTATAATTTTGAAAAAGACATGGATTAAAGCAATGAGTATATTTTTTTTGTTTTTGTTACATCATTTTTCAAAAAAAAAAAGTTTTGAATGCTGACATCATCCAAAAATAGTAATAAAAAGAGCAAAGCCATTTATAATAAGAACAAAAAGAAAAATAATTTTTCATCAGATCTATTTACTATTTTCAGTACAACATTTAAGGCATTATTAATGAGAGAGAGAGAACGGTTGATGTGTGCCAAATTATCTCAACTTAAAACTTTCCTGTTAAATACTGTGTTTTCTAATATACTCCAGTATGTATAAAAGAACCTTTCTAGGTTGATGTATGAGGCTCTATTATTATGGTCCAAACATAAGGTTTTGAAGCTTAGAGACATGGACAATCCCTTTCAAAATAGTAATTTCCCCTTGCATGTTGTGAATGATCAATCTCCTCTTTATGTAATTTAAGATTGAGTCAGCCCACTTTAAAGAAAAGAGACTTACTTCTATTACTAGTAACCCAAGCTTTTCATCCTATGCAGAGTCATTAGATTACACTGAAGGCCATCAACCGTATTGTAGTCTTTTTTCCAGTATCTCCCACCAGCATTTTATAACAATACCCATATACAGTGCACATGTAGAGGTATACAAATTCCTGCAGAGGTGCTTTAGAATAGCTATATATCTAATTTTATACGTATAATACTTGATGTAGAGAAATAATACATGCCCCCTGATGTAAGAAGACCAGCTAAGGCATATAATTATCAAATCTGAGGAAAATTACTGTGGGAACAGCAGAAAAAAAGGACTATTCTATTCGATTCTGAGATTGTGGTACAAATATTGTGGTCCATCAGGTTTTAGTTGGTAATTGTTTTAATAGGGTTGGTCAACTGAATGACTGGGCTTAGAAGGGCCACTTAACCAGGATTATCTATTCACATTGTAAGTAGTCTTTTTGTGGTAGTTATCCTTCAAGAACACCTGGCCTATTTTCCCACACTTTCAAGCTTGGTCCCCAGTAATAAGCCATTCTAGCAGACATATTAAAGATGATTATAGGACTTTACATGGGTCAGGTAGAGTGACTATAGGTATGGGCTTTTGTCTTGCACCTGCATGCTGTGGGATGCTATTACAAATACCTTGAACAGTCACCCTGGGCAAAGCATTGTAATCCTTACTTGTTCTTGTTAATCTCTTTGAAAATTACTGTAGTCCTGCCTCATTCAACTGTTACATATTGGGTAGGTGTGACAAGGGCTTATGAATAGGAACTTTTGGCAATGTTGACTCTGGTGGTTAGTGTCCTATAAAACTTTGTCATTGTTTTTAGTAATCCTGTTTACATATAGGTTTATTAGTTCCAGGTGTGACACATATATTTTTAAGACTCAAGGTGATATGTGATAGACCTATAAGACCAGGTTATGTGAAAAGAAGTTTTAATGCCTAATGGATGTTCAAATGTTTTAATTTTCAACTTGTCAAAACTTGGTACTTTACAATTTATGGAATTTCCGAGTGCTTATCTGCTATATGCTTAGTTTATAGACATGTAATGGAATTTGTAATTGATCACATGAGCCAACTGAAAAGGTATTGATTTTTGGATGTCTCTCTGTCTTTAAGTGCCATGGGAAAAGAAACCCACTCACGTTCTCAACTTTGTGACAAATTTGCAACAGATGGTGGAGATCATACAGTCTCCTGTATTTACACATAAAAATTTCTCCTTGCTCTATAAAATGTGGGCATTCCTTTGAGGGAGATAAGTAATAGTGCCCAAGTAGTTATTATTCACTACTTGGGGCACTGATTCACTGTTGTGAAATGTAATTACTTTTCCAAAATTTTATAACAAGTTCTCCCAGTTTATTTTACCAGACACGGAATTAAGCATGTAATTTAAACTTTAAAAAACAAGGTTATTTTTTATTGCAGTGACTGTTGTTATTATGTACAGACCCAAATTTGACTGCACGCAGGGTAATGTGCCAAACAGTTTGATTAAGATTAATTTATTAATTTGAAAGAAACATCATTTTGGTTTAATTGATTGAAATACAGCAATAAAAACATTTGAAAACAAACAAATTATTTGGGTCATTTTCATAAATGTCTATCTTACTGGAAGTATTGCCTTTTACCCGAAGTGCTACCCAAGTAACGCAAGATAAGCTGCAATTTACTCTTAACACGTGTAGGTGTTTCAAATATGTTTTATCCTCTTTTTAAATCTTGCTGTGTATAATCTTTACTAACTTTACTTGATATTTAAAGTAATGTTATCATAATTATCATAATTTCCATCTGTTTATTTCCCCCACGTATGATCATTTTCATGATGCGCTTAACAGTACATTAGACAGATGATGAGGGATGCTTTTTTCCTGAGACAGGTGCTGTAGACAGTGCCGGTTCACTTACATTTGAAACCAATAGTGCTCAAACCAGTTATATGATTTTATGATAAGCTGAATGACCAGCTTAGTGGCTGTTTGCCCTACTTGAATATTTTTACGTCGACTCAAATCAACCAATGTAATGTTTTTTTTACCTGTCAGAGAGCAGAAATGTTTATAAGTAGCAGGGCTTGCTTGGCGTAGACCCATCCCAGAGAAAATTCAATCACCCCCATCAAAGAACTGGTACACAAACTGAATTCATTCTCACCTTTTAAAAATTACTTAAATTGTGTCATATTAAACACTTTGATGTTATTCAAATCCTTGGTGAATATTGAGACCTCCAAAAGTTGCTTATTACTTTGGTGATTACTTATTGGATATTGATTTAAGATAATGACATAACATGTGAAGTGTAACTGTGATATTAAATGATATTTAAGTATTATGGTCCCTTTCCTGTGGAGGCATTATTTTGTTCTGTGAATAATAGATACCTCAGTGGTCTCTATGTAATGCAATTCTTATAAGTACCCAATATCTTTGACTTTGAAGTGGTGTCACACTATCCGGATTCATTTCTAGGCCAGCATTAGTGGTATCTGTCACATTACGAGACTCAGGAATATATTGAGATAGTTTTCAACTACCGCACCTTCACGACTTCTACCAGTATATAAATGCTGTTTATAAACAGCGTTAGCCTCTGTTTATATGCCACCAGGTAGCACTTTTCAGTGTTGAGCTAATATATG